AAATTGAAAAAAAAAAAAAAAAAAAAAAAAAAGCAGTAAGAAAGATAGAGAAATTGCAGTGAATTAAGAATGATAGACAGAATCCACGACCGCTTAAATTTGCAAATCGGTCTGCACTTCGAACAGCTGCGCTTAAGCGTCGGAACTCGAATTCGTCGTCGAATTGTCGAGCGTTAAGAAACATGATGAAAGCACTGCGAGCTGTCGATTATCTGAAAGCGTGTCTTTTCTTTATATGTATGTCTTCCTGATATCGAAACGCGTATTAAGAGAGTCGCGTGACGTTATCAACCGTGGTCAGGACCTCAATTTTGGCGGATGGCCGCGAACACCATTCCGCCTTCGTGGTGATTTCCTCTCGCGCGATTAGTTCTCGTATATTGGTTCAACCTTTTTTCAGTGATGATTTCAAATGATCATGCGATTTCCCCCAGAGCGATTTTTTTGACAATAAGTATATCTAGATTTCTTCTTTTTTTATTGCCACATTCTTTGAAGAATTTTGGACAATGGAATATAAAATATACCTAATTTATATTTACTAGGAGTAAAGGAAACAATAATTTAAGGCAAATAAAAAAAAATTTAGTATTTTACCACGAAACTTTCCTGGGCATATCACTTAAGGAGTTAAAGAAAAAAGTTAAAACGCGTTATCGGTACTTCGCGTTCCGTCTTCGCAGAGTTATAATCTTCGCACGCGAATTGCCATAACCATAAACGCGAGACCTAAATGTGCGCGCAGAAACCAATTCAGATATTGCTTTAGATCGCCGAACATATTAGACGCATTGGACACAAAGTCGCTCGTTACATGCAGAAAAACGCTAAGAGTTTCACCAAGATAACGTATTTCTGGAGTTCCAGTCACTCATGAAAACATAGTTTAAAATGTGATGAGATGTTGAGCGGAAAGTAACGTCCGAAAATGCGTAATCTCCGGTAATAAACGACCAGGCTGTCTGTTTAAAAGCGAGCAACACAATAAATTCGAAAAACTAATATTTCTATGGAAGAAAACTAAAAAGATTTTAGAACATAACTGAGATTTCCACAAGTCGAGATCCTAATTTTTTCTGCTTGCAGCCAAATTTCCTTTTAGGTTTAAGTCCCAAAAAAAATATTAAATCTTTTTAACGTTAAGAAATATTAAACTTTTTTTGTGTAACACTTAAACCTAAAAGAATGTCTCGGTCGGTTCTTCAGCTCAAATTCAGGTCGTCACGGTCACGGCAATTCATACGGCGAAACTCCTTATCGCTTCCGCGATATTTCCTCGCACGTCACCTGCAAAAGTGCATACGTTTCGCTTCGCGTTATCGTATCCGGCAACCCGCGTATTATATCTACAACTATGATGACTCAAAGTCTTATCTCGCGAGAGCCGGACGACCGTTCGGCCAATTTTTCCATTAGAGCAGTACACACGGGGTGTTCTGGAATTTGCGACTTTCGTCTTTCCGAGAGGTTGTCTTTGCGATTTGGAGTTGATCTTTTCTCGGCGAAAACGTCCAGGCATCAATAGTTTTCGAGATAGGATCGACAAAGCGGGCCTTTCGCGAATTAAACTTCGAGTCGCCAAATGGAGAACGAAATTATTCTCTTCGAATTATTCAGAGAGCCACTCGGCAAAATTAAGATCGCGAGGTCTGGGACACCCTGTACACATAATTAATTCCTCATTAGCTGCACGAGATCCCTGCGAGAAAAGCCGATTTTCTTAGCCTGTTTTTTCCGTATCTTGGTAAATATACCAATCATAAATACACGAATTTCCTAGAGAGGCACTTCCGGCACTTCCGTTATAAATACTACATTTAGAAACGGAAATTATACGGGAGGAACGTCACACGAAGTCGTAGTGTCTTGTAAGTTTTAATAAGAGAGAGCGTAGTTTGTAGGGGGAGGTTAATGCGTGCGTTTAATTGCGAGGCAACGTCGTTCGCTGAATGAGAGTGGCGTTTCGCCTCGTTCCTTCCGAACGTAGATTTTGCTAAGACAATATTACCAACACACATTTACACTGTATTTATAAATAAATTATTGTTATCGATTACAGGAAATATTTTTGTTACCTTCTCTCGGGCCGTATTCGCGCGTTACATGCTGTAAGACTTTAAGATATTCCAAATAATATGTTCTAAATTAAAATTTATATTTTAATTAAAATAAACTAATTTATTCAATTATATATCAGGCTTCATAAGGAATAATGCAGGTTGATGTTACTGTTGATTGTTAATATATCAATGCATCAGAGAGATAACAATCATCCAATCTACTTGTTCAAAATTTGTTTTTGGGTCAGCAGACCGATTCTATAATTTTATAATGATGGTAACATGATGTGTCACAATAGCATGATGTGTTGTCACGCAGGTTTTGTTTATAACTTCCGGAAAAATAATTGAAATTTAATCTTTTTCTTAATCAATGTAGAAAACATCGGGGAATGCGAATGTATTCATATTTCAGCGATTCAATGAAGCCCCAAAAAAAGTTACAACGAAAAAGCAGCACACATATTTTTGAGAAAAGTAACGTATGGGAAATTGGTCTGGCAATCTTACTTATGTTCAAAGTCCAAAGGTTAAGGCTCCTGGCCCCTCACATTGTTTATCTCTTTTTAACGACATCAGAAGCGAGAAAATGCATACTAAAAATTCTTGCGAAATACGTTGAAATAAACATATATGTTCATAAAGGAACTTGCAATCGATTAGACAAATTTGTAAGATAATCCGTATACTCCCCTTTTGCTCTAACAATCAATAATTTATTATAAATTAATACCTGAATAGAAATAGGCGAAAAAATAGGTTAAGAAGATGAATTGTATGTCATGTTAATTTACAACAAATTATTGATTGTTAGAGCAAAAGGGGGATGCACAGAACATTTTACAAATTTGTTTAATCGATTGCAAGTGTTACTTTATGGATATGTATTTTTATTTTAACGTATTTCGCAAGAATTTTTAGCATGCATTTTCTCGCTTCTGACGTCATTAAAAAGAGTTAGGCCATGCGAGGGGCCAGGAGCCTTAATGGTAAATTTGTAACTTCTCTCTTTTTGTTATAAAGATTGCTATTTCTCCTGATTTATTGTCTAAAATCATTCATAATTATGGCAAACGCCAATGACAGTGATTAGAGGATATATACAAAATAGTTCTCCCCCCTCCAGGAGGCGTTGGCGCGTGACACCGATAAGTAATAATTGCTCCATTGCGAACGAATGATACCGGACCATTTCTGCGCCGATCTGTTCTTGTGTCGTGCGCTCATTCGCTGCAAATTAATTACGCGCAGGCCAAGAGCGTGAGCGAACGGTCGGCGCTTCACTCGGCGCAGGATCGTTCGAGTGACGGACGCGGGAGTAACAAAGTGACGAAATTGCAATTTATTTCTGGCACCATTCGCGCGCGCATTGTGTGCGCGCGCGTCTTTCGTAAGTGCTAATAATTGCTTTGCTTAATCGCGGAGCGGATTGCTCGCGGCTCGCTTTCGCGACACGCCGATGCGCGCTCACGTAACGCACGCATTGCGAAATTACGCGTCGCCTCGCGGATTTTCGTGCTCGATCACGTGCGCCGCGCGCGATATTTGCGAATCGCGGTGAGTGCGCCGCGTTTCCCGTCAGGACACACGCGAGACTCTTGTGCTGGTCGGTTTGCTTGTCTGGGCACGCACGTCGTGATTGTTTTACCATCGTTGCGTCGCTTGTCAAACCGCGCCGGATGTGGATACGTAACGACGTCGTCCGCCTTTCTCGCAATCACGTGGAGATCGCGGATTGCAAATTCGCGCGCGGCTCCTCGCAACGTCGTCGCGTACGGTGAGAGCCGATTGCTCTCCACTTTTATTTGTTTTATCACCTTAATTTGAGCCGACGCGCACAAAATGACATAGTTGCATATGCATACTATAAAACCACCTTAACCAATGTATAAGAAACGTGTAAGAACATGTAAGAAAAAGTTGCTACATCGATTTGCAGAACATGTTTATTGATCAAGACGGTTTTATGTTATATATATAGTTACGACAGAATATGTCGATCTATTTCTCGTGGTGTTACAAAATTCTTTTAAATATATAAATATATAATATATATAATATATTATAATATATAATATATAATATATATAATATATAATATATTATAATATATAATATTATATATATAATATATATATATAATATATATATATATAATATTATATATAATATTATATATATATATATTATATATATATAT